GGCAAAGTTTTATTCTCCGTGAACTGAGCTGCTTCAGGGATGGGGAAAAAAAAGTGTGGTCAAGATTTTTGTGAATGGAATGGGAGAGATGAGGCTTGAATCCAAAACATGTTTGCTTGAATGGGCTGAAATAAGTCCGTGCTTCAAAAGACTGAGAACCTGTCTATGGCAAGGCAACTGAAAGAAGATGTTTTAATGGTATAGAACAGCTGCATGGGAGCTTGGCAAGAACTGGAACTGGATTTGGATAAAGGGGGAAGTGTGATCTCAAATAGTCCACTAGCCAAATATGTGAGGATCACATTTAAGTTTTCACAAAGGGATCTACAGGGCACTCAAGCATGGAGACTGGTCCATCTGTGCTGTTTATCTTCTCTGAAGGCTAAAGCTGCACATCCATGGTGGAAAGGGAGCAGCATGTGCTTGGAGGTTTTTTATTACATTTTCACTGACAAGTGGAAATAGCGTTAATTATGAAGGTTGTAGAGTACTGCCTGTTGTTGTGGGGTTCCATATTTGTACAAAGTCCTAGGACTCAAATGGGAAAAGTGAAAAGGAGTGTCTTCCTTTACTTGTAGTTTGGCTGGTTAAATATTTCTCTAGCAGGCTGTGCACCTGCTTGTTTTTTGTAGTGCAAAACTGGACTGTAGATTGCCTGGCAACTTAGAAAAAGAGACTCAGCAAGATGTTCCTCCAGCAATTAATACATAGTAGAGTGATAAGAACCAGGGTGAAAAGTACATTTTTTTTGTTTTTAAAGCATATTCTTTTGGCTTCTTTACAGTAATTCGCCTTTCAACAGACTTTACATAAAAGAATGGTTTTAGAGAACAGAATGAGTAGCCTCCATGTATCGTCGGGGAATATTTTAGCTCAAAACCCTTTTAATCTTTGAAATATGATTTCCTTTTTGTTCTGTGCATATAAAATCGTGATAACTCAAAGGAGGAAAAGTGACAGCACTATAATGCATTTTTAAATGGAAAAAAGTTTTCATTATAATATTGTAAACTATTCCACACTTTCTGACACTTTGTGATATTGTGAACTGTACTGCCTGGCAGAATTAATTGCTCTAGTAAGGAAGTGTCAACAGAACAGTTGACAACCAGTTCCTTTTGTAAAAGTTGAATGATCCCTGTTTATTCTGACATGATTTAAGGTAGACTGACTTGTCTGCTTTAATATTTTTGATGGGAAGAGTCTATTTAGATAATCTAATGTTTGTAAGACTGTGGCCAGAGATTCCTCAGGGCTTGGGGAGCTTGTGTCCCTCGTCCACAATCTCTGGCAGGCCTGACCTGGCTAATGCCCTTACAGTCCAACAGTGTCCATTCCGTGCTGCCCCCTCCTTCTTACAGTATTGTCATGAGCCACACAGACTACATTTTTATACATGTTTAATAACTGTCCTGTCAAGTAGATTTGTACTTATGATGTACTTTTCCAGCAGTTTCTTTGTACTACAGAGTAATCAGAAGTGGCGTACAGTACTCCTCTCTTCTGGGGATATGGTGGGATTGTGCAGCTTGCGAAAGCCTACACAGACTGGGTCTTCTCCATGGAGGCACAGTGGAGAATCAAACTCCTAGCATCTGGCACAGCAGCCGGATACCTAACTAAGCTTTACCTGCGACTAAATTGTGTTGAACTTAGTTGCCCAGTTTGTGACTAGGAATGTATAGTATCATTCTGCTAGTATGAATTGAAACAAAAGGGCAACAAAATGCCCATAATTCCTCAACTTTGCAGCTACTTTTTTGGAAAAAGAGAACAGTGTATTGGCTTGTTAATCTCCCTTCGGACCCCGAACTTCAGTACAAAACCAATTTTATTTGTTATTCTCTCTGACTTTCATCACTTCTCTTCTGTACCAGCTAGCTAGAACATGCTAAGAACCTGCCATTTCTGGGCTCTGATTCCTTACTGTGGTTGAAGTCCTTCCTCCTCCTTCCATTAAAATTGGCATCAAAAATACAAGAAAAATTGTTGTATCACTTCAACCCATCAATGGAAAATGAGTGCTGTGAAAGACAATGTAGGCAATAATCATCTAATTCGGAAGCTTGTTGCACACAGTGAGATGTAGAATAAGTCACGGTGCTAGGTAGCTGTGATGGTTATCTGCTGAAGTTAATGTGGGTAGAAGTGGGGACTATGGACAGATATAGAAGCTTTAAACAGGAATGAAGTATGTTATAATTATAATGTTTTATCATATAAAACAGGGATCAGACATGGATCCAGCTTAGTGATATGTGGTGTGCCAAAATAATGATATAGACCCTAGAATTAACATGAGTCGTTTGCCATATTTATCATTTTTATATCTCCCATTTAAAAAGGCACATTTTAGTTGTATACAAACAGGTAATATAAAATATCAGAAACAAAGAATCTTGTGTAGTGGAACTGAGATATATTGGCTGTTAAAAGATGCACAATGAATGATTATTAGCTGACTGAGGCATTGAAATTTTATAGATCATCTGAGTGATGGACAAAGAAAGCTACAGGTTCCAGTTCCCACTGAGAAAACGGTGGTTACTTACTAAATTGCAGTATGGAGTGATGCCCAGGCAGTGCATCAGGATCATCAGAAGCATGGTCAATAGAGGACTGGTCTCTGTTCATTGTGCAGCAGTGGTGAATCTTTCCACATCTGGTGAAACTACCACTGGTTGGGAGACAGCCTGAATTTAGTGCAAAGAGTGGAACCCTGTTATTGGAATATACTGTATAACCACCACTCCCAAGTGGGTGTGCAGCAGTTGGGTTATAACAACACAGACATGTATCATAAATTTTTTTTATTTATTTTTCTGCACTGTCCATGAAAGAGGTGTGCTATTTTTTTATTTATTTTTTTATTTATTTTTCTGCACTGACCATGAAAGAGGTCTGCTTAGCCTGAGAAAGTGGAGTTCATCCACAAATGCTTGTTATTTGTTTTATTTTTAGTAGTCCAATAAAAGGTATTGGACACTATTTTTTAGTGGTCCAATAAAAGGTATTGGACGTTCTACTTGCATTTATGTAACCTTATTTTTTGTTAATTATAGCTCTGCATAGATAAGAAGTTTACTTGTTAAAGTCTGTCTTTTCATTATGCATGCAAATGTTCAGTGATTATTTGAAACATGCTAAGCCTGTAGCACTTAGAACATCCTTTGGACTTAATTTACTCATTCTGGCCATGCACTGTCTAAACAATATTTGTATCACTGCTAAATTTCTCCATACCCAGCCATTTTGAACTTCTATAGCAGCGGTTCCCAAACTTTTTGGATACAGCAAACCGGTTGGTGGGTGCAGGCTCCGTGCGCGGGGGGCAGGGGCACTCCTGCACTCGTGAAGGGGCATGCGCATGAGGACAACATGCCCCTCCGCAAAATGTGACATACCCACCGTGGGGGGGGGCAGAGGGGGCACTCCTGCACTCGTGAAGGGGCATGCACATGAGTGCAATATGCCCCTCCGCGAGTGTGACACGCCCATCGTGTGGGGGGGCAGAGGTCTGTTTCCACAGCCCAGTTCCAGGAAGCCCAGGGACTGTCCACAGCCCAGTTCCAGGAAGCCCACAGACTGTCACCGGGCTGCGGTGGGTTGGGGACCCCTGCTCTATAGAAGCATTTATGTCACCAATCAAGGGTTTTGTGGGGAAGACAGTTGTATGTAGTGGCTAGTTTTTAAAGCTGTTCTTACATTTTTTTCAAAAAAAAACTGTGATTCATTAAGAAAACCAGTTATCCTTATCAGTAGTGAGTTTTCACAGATCTGCCCATATGAAACCTCTTTACGGTATTCTGATGTTTTTACAATTAGAAATTAGTATAAATATTCAGCTGCCTGTGGACAAGTTAAATTGGTGTTGTTTCAGCAGGCAGAAGTGCTGGATTCATTGGGCTGAATGGGAACTGTTTCAGTAATTGAGATTACAGTGTCAGGGACACTTACACTTGTGAATCAATCCCCTTGCATTTAGCTGGGCTTACCTCTCAGCAAACATGCGTAGAATTGTTCAGATTGAATTGTGCCATACCATGATTAGGCAGCTATATTGCACTTACCTGGCTGGAAGCTCAGGGGTGTAGATATCTTCCTGTTGAAAGTTTGATTCAAGTGCAAAGTTCTACACTGGAGTAGGGGGAACCAAATGCACAGTTACAAGATTGGGGATAGTTGACTCAGTAATACTGTGAGTAAGAAGGATTTTGGAATTGTTGTTGATCAAGATCTGAATATGAACCAACAGTGTGATGTGGCTGCAAAAAAAAAAAAAAGCAAATGTGATTTTAGGATGCATTAACAGAAGTATAGTCTCAAAATCCTGTGAAGTACTAGTCCCCCCTCTAGAACTGATTAGGCCTCATCTAAAGCACTGTGACCAAGTTGAAAGGAGGGCAACAAAGATGATGAGGGGACTGGAAACCAAGCCCTGTGTGGAAAGACTGAAAGAAACGGGCATGTTTAGCCTTGAGATAAGAAGACTGAGGGGAGATATGAGATATTTGAGAGGTAGTTATACAGAGGAAGGGCAGGATCTGGACTCAGTTGTCTCAGAATGCAGGACGCATAATAATGGACTCAAGCTACAGGAAGCCAGATTTTGGTTGAATATCAGGAGAAACTTTTTAACTGTTAGAGCATTGCAACAATTGGTACACCAATTCCCTCTGGAGGACACGAGTGCCCCAATGTTGGAGGCATTCCAGAGAAAATTAGACCACCATATGTCAGACCTAATTTGATTTGGATTCCTGCATTGAACAGGGGTTGGACGTGATGGCCTTATAGGCCTCTTCCAACTAAATGATTACATGATTCTATAATTCTGTTGTTATATTGCATTTCACAAACTTACTTTGTATTAGCTTGCTTGTTCCATCTCTACTTGCTTATGTTTTTAATGTCCTTTGAACATTCCACACTTTTACTTTTTTAAAAGCTTTTTTTTTAAAAAAAAGAATAAGATGAAGCTTACTCTAATTTTTAATCAGTTTCAGATGCAGGATTCTATATCCCATGCCCTTGTTTTGCTTGGCCGATGCAGCACTTTAAGGAACTTCACAGTATCCCTGCTTTTCAGAGAAGTGACTCAGTTCGCTGAAGAGTTGCAACATATGAATGAGGTACTGTTGTGTTTGAGATTTTATGCTGTCATAAAGATTTCAACATTATAGATTTCACCTTGACACCAGAGAGCTATCATTCATGAAGTTTAAACTTAGCCTCCAGAAAGATTTCCATTTTGATTTTCAGTTGTAATTCAGAGATTAGTTTTCAAACTATATTTTAAAATTGTGTACAGAAATGATTTGGTAGCGCTAGTGGCAGATTTCACTTGAAACAGGATTTGTAGTAAACATTGAGGGCTCAGAGAATCTACCTTGGAGGAGCAGCGAGTACCCAAATTGTGAACTGGAGAGAGCTATCTTGGCTTGTAAGACCAGGTCCTTGAAACATACTTTCCACTTCCTCCTGCCCTTTTGAAAACAGTGGAGAGAGGAGAGGATGTGTATCTTCTTCTTCTCTTTGCAAGTCTTTAGAAATATTACTACAGCTTAGAAGTATTACTACCGTATTTTCTACTAGCCACTATGGTTTGTCACCAGCATGCTGCTAATGAATATGATGAAAAGGTTTATTAATTATCACCACAGACCACTGCAAAATATAACATAATAGAGGAGGTATAAAAACACAAGTAGATAATTATATAAATATAGCTTATACAATGCAAAATTATTTAGTGATTACTGCCTGTAACCTTTTAAGTACAGTTCATCCAGGAAACAAATTGTAAGCAACCCAAAAATGCTAATGTGTATTTGCAGTACATTAAGGTGAAATTATTTCGAACAGTCATCAGACTGTGGCACAGTACTGAAGGACATCCACTCATATCAGAATGCCCTCTCAAATTTTTCTTGCTGTGAGATCAGGGTGGATAAACATCAGAGATTTTTTAAAAATTAAATAGATGGATGCTCAGTAGTTTAGGTCTCTGGCTGCAGAGCCAGAGGTTGGGAGTTTGATTCCCCACCGTGCCTCCCTGACAGGGACAGGACCTGATGATCCATAGGTCCCTTCCAGCTCTGCAGTTCAGTGATGAAGATGATGAAGAAATTATGATTTAAAACAATTTAAAAATTTTAAAAAATCATTTTTAATTTAAATAGCAAAAAACCCCATGTTTAAAAAATGAAATTGTGTTTTAAATCATGATTTAAGTCACTTTGATTTAAATCATATCCACCCTGGTACAGTGGGGTCTCGACTTACGAACTTAATCCGTATTGGAAGGTGGTTCTCAGGTCGAAAAGTTCGTAAGTCGAATCGGCATTTCCCATAGGAATGCATTGAAAACCATTTAATCCGTATCTGCTCTTTTCCATCCATAGAAACTAATGGGAAGCTGCTATTCCGCCTTCTGCCACTAGAGCGGGATATTTTTTCTCTTTTTTTCCTTTTAACCTAACTCTTTTCTTTCCTTTTAAAAAAGGAAAGAAAAGAGTTCGTAACTCCAATCTAAGTTCGCAAATCGAGTCCATATATTCCTATGAGAGCGGTTCGTGAGTCGAAAAGTTCGTATGTAGAACCGTTCGTAAGTCGAGACCCCACTGTAGTAGACTTCAAGCCAAAGGTCTAGCTTTTTCAAACAGACACTTTGCATGAAGAGCTAGAGCGTGGCATATGTAGTCTTGGACTAGAGACATAAAAAGCCCTAACTAAGCTTTTGATCTTGGATTAAGGTGCATATTTGGAACTCTTCCATGTGCAGTGCCATCCAGCCTGCCTTGCTGTTTAGAAAGTATTTCTATATCTCAGCTGTTATCCCATGCCATCATTTTGGACCTTGTCTCTATTATATGCTAGCAATTGTATAGGTATAGTTAATGAAGGTTTCCATGTTATTTCCCTCAGGGAATTGAATGATGGAGACTGCTATTTTTTCCTCTCTTTTTTGACCATTTTTAATTATCTCTGTTACCTGCTGATCCTCTGAGTCCTGTCATCTCCTAAACGTTGGAGGTGTCCACTTGTGCCTTTATTTTAATCTTATTTTTCACAGTTAGCAACTGTTTCTCCTTTTGGTGATCAGTCACTTGATTCACTGACAAATCTACCTCATTTTGAACAGCCATCTTCCAATTTGTCCTTTAGTTTATACATACGTAAAGTTACACAACTTTGCTATGGCTACAGTTTTTTCACTGGCAGTTGGGATTAAGAATTGAGCTGTATTCCAAAGGTGAATTTGTGTAGAGACTGGTTAAGTTTCACAGTAGTAGAGAGGTGAATCACACACTGATGTCTTTCAGCAGAGAGTTATAACTCACAGGTCGGTAAGAAATAGTAATAGAAGTGTCTCTAGAGATTTGGGTGGGCAGTTCTTTGAGTTGGCATTTTTGTAGGAATCTGTTAAAATTCACATTAGATGAATCCATACATGAAGTGGAATGCACATGGAGGTGAATATTTGCACTTAAAATATGAAAAAAATGCATAAAATGAAAATAAACAGCTAAAAAGCATCATCCTAGAAAACATAGTTTGCAAAAATGTAGATTTTGAAAAATGCTTACACATTTGTATACATATTGAGGTATTTGTGGAAAATATATGTGGATAAAGACAAAAATAAGAGGTACAAGTTGACTTTAGAAACATGAGTGAAGTGTGACACATTTGTCCATCAAAAATCTCATGGGGATCCCACCCCTGCAGCTTGGTACATGGAGCCAGATCACAGAAAGTACTAATTGAGATTCCCACTCAAGAGAGAAGATTAAAAACTGATGTTTCAAACAGGAACATATATGAAAGAAACCAAGGGGGGAGCATTTAAGTCTCACTTGGTGTTTCTTCTGTGACTTTATGATCACTTTACTTGAACAGAACCATTTCTAAGAACTACTGCAGCAGAAAAACAGGAATTAGCAAATTTGATATTGTTATTGGAACATAGATATGAATAGAGATACTTCTCAATGGAAGGAATTTGTTTTTCTTTTGGTACATCATAGTTTTCACAATAAGTGGGCAAGATCCTGTTGTGTAACAGTACACATGCAACATTGGATGTTCCCAGATGAAGGTTTTATTGGGCAATTGCTTGGTCTAACTTACGGAATTCTACAAGGGGTTCAAATAGCACATATGTACAATTTTAAATAAGCCTGTTTTTCCTGTGGCTTCTTCCTACCATCATACTAGGAAAAATCCACGAAAGAGTGGATGCTATCCATTTTATGCCTGTTCTGACTATCTGGAAGAATTTTGTGCTATCCATACATATTCAATCCAGTGTGCAGTGCATTTTGACAGGTAGCCCAGGAGCTCTCTGTGTGAAAATGACCATGGTTTACAGAAGTGGGTATATTAAATGGGCGCATACATGTGTGTGCACATTAGTTCATGTGCATACCTACAGCCTTCATAGTCTTCATCAGATTTATTGTCAGTGTTGTGCAACAGTCTTTGGGTCTCAAATATGCCTTGCCACTTTTTGTAATATATCAAGACTTCACCCTTAGGCTACATTTTTGTAGGCATCAGTGAGAAATATGAATGAAATTGAATTACTGTGCACTGCAGAAAAAATGACTTCAGTAAAAAAATAAAATAAAAACCGGAACCCCATGTGTACCAGGGAACTGTTATCCACCGTTCCTTTATTCTGTTCAGGATTTGTGCAGGTAGTATTTCATTTGGGGTTTGGCATTTCTCATGAAACAAGACAGAACAAGTTTTTTTTCTATTATGGCTCAGCAGCAGCTTGTTGGTTAGAACTCAGTTTGGCTGCAGATGACTTCTACAGATGTCAAGAAAATGTACAAAAGAAAGTGACACACCAGTCAACCTAGGAGGGAGATGAATGGTTCTTACGTCTTTACTATTTCTGTGAAGAAATACCTGTATGGAATTCTAGCAATGAAAGAGCAGATGCTTTTTGCTTTGGTTTCCTGTATGACAAAATTGAGGATGACATTTAATCAGAAAACTCAGGTGTTTTCTCTTCAGCAGAAAAAAAAAGTGTTGAAATGGATTTCAAGAAGAAAAGTGATCCCTTTATCAGCAAGGTCTGTGAAATTACTTATGGTAAGAACCTAGTTTTCCATTCAAGAGAAGATAGGTGTTATGGCTTTTAAAAAAGACAACACATGTCCCACTGAGATATGTCTCTTATCTGTGTTTCATCTTTTCCAAGATTCACTTGCAAGTCTTTTCTGAGCGACAATAACATAATTCTGGCAACTGTCAAAGAGAGGCATAACTGTAGTGTTTTTTTGAACCTCCCTGATCTCATAGAATTATAGAGCTGGAAAAAACCCTAAGGGTCAACAAGAAGTAGCAGAGCCACAACTAAAGCTTCCCTGATAAAAGACCACATCCAACTTCTGTTAAAAAACCTTCAATAAACGGATGTCCACTGCCTTCTAACGTAGTTCATTCCATTGTCATATAGCTCTTAACTGTTAAGAAATCCCTTCTGTTGTTTAGTTAGAATCTCCTTCTTGTAATTTCAAGCCACTGCTTTGTGGCACCTTCACATTTCTCCCTTTTGAAACTAATGTTGTTGTTCGTGCCTAGTTTTCCAATTTGTTGAGATAATCTTGAGTATGTCTCCTAAAGTATTAAACTACCAGTTGGAATCATCTACAAATTTGTGAATGTCTCTTGCATACCCTCACCTTTGGATAGAGCTCATATTGTCCTGCAGATTTGACTTCATTTAATGCAGATAGGTTTTCCCATACCACCTCTTTATTTATCTTGGCAGCAGCCCACTTGTTCTTACCTTTATTTGTTTATTTGCTTCTTTATTTTCACCCCACATTTCTCCTTAAATAGGACCCAGGATGGCTTACATAATTAAAAGAGACCCTATTTAAAGCTAAAAACAATAAGTATACAAATACTAAAAGGGATCAAACAAAAGCCACTCTAGAAATGGTAAACACAAGCAATACTAAAAACACATTCAAAGCAGTTTCACATAACAGTGCATTTACAAACAACACTGATGCAGCCAATTACTGAGGGAAAGCTTGCCTGAAGAGGAAAAAGGCCTTTGCCTGCTTGCAGAAGGAAAGCAAAGATGGCACCAGCCTGGCCACCTATTCCA